TGAGGAAACTGCCCGGAGCATAAGCCTCCGCCTAGGAAAATGGGCCACTCAGCATCGGCATGGCGGCAGGACTACAGGTCAGAAGGCAGGTCTCTGAGCCGCTTGGAGGGCAGCCTCGATTCACGTCCCCACTGTGCCAGTCACACCCTGTCGGGGTGGCGGGGGTGCAGGGGCTGGGAGTGAGAGCTGGTGGGCTTCCTGTACTACCCAGCCCCAAAGGGAAGGGCAGGAATAAATCCCTGACTGAGAGAGCGAGAAGAAAAAGACATCAGACCAAACCACATGTGCACTTACGCTACCTCGGAGATGCTGCTCCTGGCCCCACAGCAGCCCCAGACACAGCTGTGTGGAACGGTCCCCGTGAGCTCCCGAAGCCAACAGGAGGGAGGGGGCTACCACAAGGGACTACTCCCAGTGGTGGAACGTAAACTGCCGGAGAGAGAAAGGGCTGCTCTGGAGAGTCAAAGCAGGCGGGAAGGGTGTGTGTGTGCGTGCGTGCGTGCGTGTGTGTGTGTGTGTATGTGAGTGTGCACACAAAACTCTCAATGTTGGTGTGACCCAAGGAAGACAAGCCCTGTTCTCTTTTTTTATTGTGCCTCCAAAAATAAAAATACAACCCAAAACAAAACATTAAATAAATAAATATAAAAAGCCAATTGGGCGGCACGCTCTGCTGGTGGAGAGGGCTACGCAGAACAATGGGTGTGGGCCTGTTCATGTGCCCACACTCCTGCTGCCAGCCTGGGGTCACAGAGGAGTGGTCACCGAGAAAGCCAATCAGGAGAACAGTGCGACCTCCGCGCGTCAGGAGTCTAAGACATACTCTTCCTCCCTGCCCTACCTGGCACTTTGGCAGGGCCATCCTCAGGTACCGCCAAGGTCACCGCCATATAGTCCTTCACTCCGCCCTGTCCGAAGCCCAGAACTCCGGCTGCACACTGGAAGTACACAGGGCAATTCCCAGTAGGAAAGGAGTAGGACTACTGCAACCAAAGCCTTGCTAGCAGGGCCGTGTGTATTAGATCAGTCACTAGGTTTCTGAGCCTTCCTCCAGGGACATGTGGGTCTCACTTGTGTACGTGACCCAAGTGCCTCTCATCAAGCCAGACAGCAGACCACACGGGGAGGTAACCTGAGCTTCGGGCTCCTGACAGCCTCAGCAGCTCCTGTCCAAATTCAAGAGCAGTGTCAAGAAGCCCGGTGACTGCTCTTTTGGCACAGGAGTCACATCCCTTTGTGATTCTGGGTTCCCCAGCTTCTTTTCACTATTTTAGAGATGTTCTCTTCCATTTCTGTCCTTTCTCCCCTTTAAGATTGCAGAATTTTCTCTTAAAAATTGTACTTTTGATGTGAAATCTTAAAAATAAAGCTCTTGGAGGGAGAGATACTTTCTTGAGCACCACACCAAACGGTGCAGCCTTGCCAGAGTCCCAGGGGCTTTGGAAGACGCTTTCTGGCACAGTGGCCTCAGGGACACAGGAAGGGCCTCTGCTTCCCACCCCACCCCCTGGGGCAGGTGGGCACAGTGTTTCTAAGGGTGTTGTTATCCCCAGTAGCACAAACCCGAGAGAGATGAGTCCTTGCCCCATGATTTCTACACTGAATGACCCTGGAAAAGTGACCTTGGAGCTGAGGACCCCGTTTTCCTTCAGACTGAGACAGACTGACGACAAAGCACAGTGAAGGGCATGTATACAAAGCCCTCAGTGTGCCATCCAGTCTCCAGAAAGGGCTTTGGACACCTGTCCTATTGTTATTTGGGCTTTGTGTTCCTCTGCTTGGCTCCTGGGTATTCTCTGTGAATTCACTCAGGGTTTACCAGCATCTGCACCATCCAGCTCTGGGCTGGCTCGCCCTCCAGTTCTGGAAACCAACACTCAGCACAGGGTACAATGTCAATTCTCTACAATAAGTATGCATTTTTTATAATGAAGGAAAAGTCAAAATTTACAGTGATTCAGAAATAAATGATTTGCTAGCTTTTTCAAGCTTCCTCTAATGTGAGCCCTTAATGCAGTTGGGTACGTGACCCTAATTTGGTATTTTGCTGGCCTGTACCTGAACTCATTCTCCTAGTTGACTATCTCCCACCCTGTCTTCTGTCCTCAAGCCCCAACATCTCCTCTCCCACAAAACAGGCCTATGCTGGCTCTGCCTCTGTACTGCGTGCCCATGTAGGGGCTGCCCTTCTACTCGCTGACAAGGACATGGACCACCAGAGGGAAGGGAGAAGATATAGCCTGGTCCTGGCAGCAATATTTTATTTCTTTAAAAAAAAATATTATCGAGAAGACTACAAGTCTGCTATAAAGCCAAATGAGTTTTCTGTCTTTTTTCTTTTATCTTAAAACTACTTTACAATTAATTTCTTTGTGTGATGCTGGTAATTGAACTCAGGGTCTTGTGCATGCTAGGCAAGCACTCTTCCATGGAGCTATACCATAGCCCTAAGATTTTTTTTTTTTCTGGTACCAGGGATCGAACTCAGGACCTTGAGTTTGCCAGGCAGGTACTCTAAGATTTTTTTAAAAAATAGGAAAAGGGATACAGAAAGAAGAAAAGTCTTATTTACATATAAGTGGAAGGAAGTTGAAAAAACCTCAAAATTAATCCCAAACAAGTAGCATTTTCATCCAGCACAGATTTTTCCAACAGAGGGAAAGCTCTCCTGGTGTAACTGAAAGTCTCAATTTAAGATGGCACACAAATAAAGAGCACAGGTAAAGCCTCTTTATTTGAAGTGAAACTCTGCTAGAAGTTAAGAGTATGTAAAAATAAAAACAACACAACAATCTGGAAACTTTGCTTTGAGTATTCCACTGTTCATGACAAGGAATGGTCAACTGGAGTGGTGGGGTTGTCTGAGCACTTTTTGTATTCACAGGAAAGTGTATCTGTACATAGTACAAGCTCCAGTTGGAAGAATTCCTCAGTTTTATCTTACATGTTTGTTTCATATTTCCAAATATAAAAAGAACAGGGGAGATTAAATTCAACTTTTAGGAAATGTACAACAGAAAATTGAGACTGACATAAAAATACACCTAAAAAGGTTTTGACTTTCACATCTAAAAAATGTAACTTTAAAGACATTCTCATATGAATTTTTAAAGTAATTCATAACCTGAGATGAGAACTTCCTTGAGAAATTCTATACTGGGTTCAAGTGGCCAGAGCGCCCCCACCATTAGCAGCTCTAAGGCAATGGCAACACGCAGGCTCCACGATGGATGTGCCACACACACCTCTCTCTGCCAGCTGCTCATAACAGTGGAAATGCTACAGACACTCCAACCTCTAACAATGCAAAACTATGCAGTCAACACCAGGAAACACAGACTGTCCTTCCACTCCCCAATGGGAACCCAGCTACAAGGAGGCTAATGAGGACCACCATTCTCACAGGGCACCCTTCCTGGCCCTCCATCTCTCAGTCCTCAGAGGGAGAATGAGGGTAAACAGCCATGGCAAATGTTGGGTTCTTGAACTGGCATGTCATACCTGCCTCCCACACCATCTTCAAAATTAGTTAAAGTGACATTAAGAAACCACATGTATCGAGGAATCACTGACACATATAAAAGCTGACATACACATTTGATCTTTGTGAGAACTCTGCAGAGATGCATTACCCCATCTAAACAAAACAGGCCTGGTTAGCAACATGGCTAAGATCACAAAGCCAAAAAGCAACAGCAGGTTAGCAGGTTCACTCTGGCCGACACTGAATTCCATGGTCCATTCTCACAGTAAGCTGGGGATTCGGTCTCCGTTAACAGGCAGAAAATCCAGGGAAGCCCATCTTTTCTGGTTTGCTTGGAAACGCGACATATTTACCATCTTCTCACAGTCCATTAAGCCATCTGAAAAACTCTTCCACACCAGCACCAGGACACTGCCTCGAAATGTCTGGCCCTCACAAGGACTCAGTGTAAACAAAAACAACACAGGCAAAGCTAACTCCAGAGACAGTAAAAAGACTGCTTACATGAGCCCAACTTTAAAAAATGAGCATCTCTACAAGACATTTAAAGCTCCCCAAGACAGATTCACTGTGTTGGGCAGTCAGCTTTTCATGAGGGAGCAATGGGGAGGACTGCAGTGGCAGAGCCCAGACCCCAAGAAGGAAATGAGACTGCTGGGCACAGCTAACACGCCTCTGCAGCTCTGTGTCTGGGGAAATTCCAGGAAGGCCTAGGTCCACCTCAGAGAAGAAACCTCTCCTCGCCAGCTTTCGCTTCTTGGGTGGGAGCTATACCGCCAGAGAAGGTGTGAAGGTGTGGCAACAGAACGTGGGCCAGAGACCAGGCCACCAGACAGGGCAATGGCACATGTGCGGGACAAGGACTGCAATTCACTTAGCACTGGGCCTGCAGGAGAGCCAGGCTTTATCCTAAGACCTCGAGCCCTGGAAGAAGGGGACTCGTGCTCTGGGTTCAAGATTTGAAGGATTTTACATGGTGGAAGGGGTTTTACAGAAGAAGAAAACAAAAATGTCTCTATTTCATACAGACTTAGAAAACACTGTTTCAATTGTAATACTTAGATTTATAATTACAGTCAATTTTGGGGGGGTTAAAAACGGAAAGGTGCTTGACAGAGAGCAATCTCTAACTCAGTTTACCACCAGAACCCAAAGGCCCATGGATGACACGAGAATTGCCCAGAGCAATGAAGCTGGCCAGCAGCCTGACCACACCACAGTGTGGGGCTCCCAGCCCCAGACTGGAACCCACACAAGCTCAGAACTCTTCCCACAGACCCTCACTGGACCAGTGCCTGGACTTAAAGTGAAAACAGGCAGTCGGTCCCTGGGCAGAACACTTCCTTCAGACCGGTGCTTCTCTGCCACTTAGACTGCATCGAGGCAAGGTCTCTGACCCCAGGGTAAGTGAGAGTGCCCACAATGCCAGGAACCTGCCAGCCCACGCCTCGCCCCTCTCACCATGCTCCCTCAACAAAGCAGCGCCTCAGACCACAGGCAGGGCGTGCGGACTTACCCGTGCTGGGCATGTGGTTCACGCGGGCAGGGTTCAGCAGCTCCACTGGCTGGTCTCGGCCAGAAAGACCATCTGGAGAACAGAGAAGGCACTGGCTTCAGGAACTTCATGCATTTCAGCAAAAATGCCTTATAGTGCGCGTTAGCAAGGAACAATTCTCAACAAACAATGGAAATGCACAAGTCTTTCTTACTTTTAAAGGAGGACAGTTTTGATTCCACCACGGATTATTTTTACTTGCCAGAGAAAATGAAAGGGCCTTTGTAGAATAATCAAAACAGTCCCCAGTTAAGATACAGCAAACTCCAATTCCTGGCCTAAGGGCATCTAGCTTAGCTATTTTGGTTTACTTCTGTTTAGCAACCACCTAGTATCTACTTGTGTTTATCAGAAGTGGGCTTTCCTGCAAGAAACGAAAAGCATTCACACAATAAAAACAGAAGAGCTAGGTCTGGATGGTAACAGAAATGCAGCCTGGGGACAAGGCCCAAAGCCTGTGTGGCCGCACTGGGCAGCAAGAAAGGGAATGTGCTGGAGACACGTGCTCATCTCCTTTGAGAAAAATGTCTTAGCGGGTGCCTCACGAATCACGGAATCACAAAACTGTTTCTTTTTAACCCAGTTTTAGATTGTATTCAAAAGTGCCGTCTATTCTGACTTGCTGAGAAGACAAGGCTGGAACCTGCCCACCATCTAAGCTTGGTGCAGGCTGTGCTTAGACTGCGCAAGGTGGCCCATGTTCTCCCACACAGGAAGGAAAGGAAAGGGGGAGAAAGAAGGGGAGCGGAGGGAGGGGAGGGGAGAGGGGAGGGAGGGGAGGGGAGGGGGCAACGTTTCCAGAAACCAAACTTTTCTTTTGAAATCAGCTTCTGACAGATCATATAAAATGCCCTGCGATAGTTTGTGTACGAGTAAGGCCTGTGCCAAATGGTCACTTGTCACTGGCTTAAGGGCGGAAGGCGCAGCTTCACAGGACAGCCACGGAACTTGTGGAGTCAGAACTTCACAGTGCTGACAGAAACAGCATCAGGCTGACTGTAAGAAGAGGGGTAATGCCCAGTGTGACCAGCCCCTGCACGTCGCTGCAGAAGCTCAAACTCCAAGGCCAGAAAACAAGTCCCAAGGAGCTCCAAAGTGGTCTCTGGAGGTGACAAGACACGCAGAAGGCTCTGTGGGTGGAACATGGCTACTCGTGTGCCACTTGGAGAGTCACACGTATGACACTGGGCATATCGGGGGTCAGAAGGACGACTGGGAGGCCACTGGCAGGCCCAAGCAACCTTTCCCACCAGCCAGCCACTCCAGGCCTTCTCACGAACAGGACCACGGGGAGATGGCCTGACACCGGGTTGTAAACAATGCCATGGCCCGCCAGAATCCCTACTGGTGCTCAGAAGGACTTCAATGCAGTGACAGAAAGTACTTTTTAAGACTTTTGCCATGACAATAAATAAATGCTCATTATAGGAAACAGTGAAAAATCCACAAAGGTATGTATGTGTTTTAAAGTTATAATCTCACTATAAGTACTTTCAGAAATCCAAAAGGCACTTTTGAAAATCCTAACCTGGCTGTAGTTTTCCAACGAGAGAAGTTAGAAACAAGCGTGGGGATGCCTGTCCTGCTTGGGACTCTGAGGCTGGTTCTGTGGATCCTGAGCGCTCCTTCTGCACTGGGGGCCCATCCCTGTCACAGCGGGGCTGCCACCACCCTCTGCATCTTGGGTCTTCACGCATCTGTGTGAGCAAATGCTCTAGAAGAGAACACTAGACCCTGACAAGCCCAGGGCGCCACAGCTCAGGGCAGCCAGCAGCAGTGGGGCCAGCACAGCCGCTTACACCAAGACAGGTTCTCCAGTGCAGACTTGAGCTGACAGCATCGGCCCCACCCTGAGAAGGCCTAATCACTCCAAAGCCACACGCATAAATGATGCACAACCCTTTACTCTTGCTATGCTCAAGCAGGAAGATACATCAATCCTCAACGTGATGGATTCCAAGTTACTCAAAAGCACTGCCCATGTGTTTTAATCAACCTACGACTCAGCTGAGTCCTGACACATGTACAAGATTTCCGAGGACAGGGATGGGGCATGTTATTCAGCCTTTAGGAAAATGCTATTCATGCCTATGAACACACCTTGGGTAAGAGCATGAAGGACCTTGCATCTGAGTCAGACCTGAAGTTTTATTTGTCCCATCAGCCAGAGCAGGTGGATTCTGACACCAGCAGGTTTTGCACAATTTGATTCAGCTCTGACATTATTTATCTGGAGTACAAGCTGTCCTTACAGTGCACAGTCAACTTCAGCTATTTAAAATATGAAATAGAAAGTCCTAGAAAAATAACGACGCATATAAGTCTAAAATTATATGCCATCCTGAGTAGCGTGACGGAAGCCTGAGCTCCTGCCCATCCTACTTGAGTCATGAATCATCCCATCCCTTAGTCACTCACTGACAGCAGCTGTCCTGATCATTCAGTCAACTACCCTGGAACTGCAATGCTTGTGGCCAAGTGACCCTTGCTTTTCTTAACAATGCCCCCAAATGGAAGAGGAGTGATACTGCAATTCGGAGAGCCTAAAGAGAAGCCACTGAAGGGGACACCCAAGTTCCATAAGGGTAGGGAATACAGTATGATAAGATATTTTTGAGAAGGAAGAAATCCTATTCATATAACTTTAATGGGTACATTATTACAATTGCTCTACCCTATTAGTTACTGTTAATCTCTTAGTGTGCCTGTTTATAAATTAAACTTTATCACAGATATGTATGTGCAGGAAAAAACAGCATATAAAGGGCTCGGGGGTATCCATGGTGTCAGGGATCTGCTGGGGTCTTAGATCGTATCTTCCCTACATAAAAGGAGATGATTACACTTACATTTACAGGTTTATTATTAAAAATACACCTAGATGAAGTATGTAGAGAGAAGTATTAGTCACTTTTTCACTGCTAGGACAAAATACCTGACACACACAACTTAGAGGAAAGGTTCATTTTGGCTCATGGTTGCAGAGGTTTCAGTACATGGTCAGTTGGTTCCAAGACAGGAGCATCATGGTGGGGAATGACAGCCAGGAAGCAGAGTGAGAGGAGAGAGCCAGAGAGGAAGAGCAGGGACTGGTACAGTCCCCAAGTCATGCCTCTGTGACCAGTCCCTTAAGTTTGCACCTCCTAAGTTATCATTACTTCCCAATAATGTCACCAAATTATGATTTCAGCAATGGATTAATACACTGATGTTAGAGCCCTTACAATCCAAACACCTTCTAAAAGCCCCATTTGTGAGCTTTTGGAGGACATTTTAGATCTAAACTACAATAGATGACATCCCCAAAAGTCCCCAGTGCAGGAGCTTCATCCGCATAGAGCTGGAGTGTGTGAGTCCACCAACATGGAGCTCTCCCAACATCACTGTCATGAGATGTCCTCAGCCAGTCCTCAGCCATTCCCAGTCGACTACCCAGAGGTCAGTGGGTGGGGCCAACATTCCCAATCTTCTGGTCTCCGGGTCTTTCTGGTGAAAGCCCCATCCCTAGCCTATCTAGGGGGCACCTCATTAGCACAAGTGGATGTGAAGGAAGAGGGGCTCCCTGAGAATAACATAAGGCACTCTAATACTCAGAAACTTCCAAGGAGCTCTGTGCCAGAAGCCAGGACACAGGCCAGATACATTCTTTTTCTTTTGCAGTGGGGAAACTCCTTGTTCTCACCATGGGAGACAGGCCTAACTGAAATCATAACACCCTGGAAATGTAAAACCCCAGCCCTGCCATTTCCACATCTCTGTGAACTGACCTAGAGTCTGGAGTCAAAACTGTTCTGATTCAGCATTAGTGCTTCCCAGGGAAAGGAGTGACTGTACAACTCTGAAAACATAAGCGTCTCCACACACACTGGGACCTCAAAGAGGCCTCATCACCTTCAGGGCATCTGCAAGGTGCAGCCCAGAGGCAGCCTAGCCTCCATCACCTGGAAGTCGGCAGGCTGCAGGGTCTCTGGGACATGAACCTCTCTTCTGGCTCCTCCTCAAATCATTCACGCACCTGCACACCATAAGCAGATACCACGTCCCTCAGCACAAGAGGGTGAATACGAAGGGTGCCCTAACCAAAGGTGTTAACAGAATGGTGATAGGCAGGTTCACACCAGCAGAACACTCCCTGATAGGCTCCCAGAGATGCACAGTACCCCGTGAGCCTGGGCAACATCTCTGATCAGCAGTGAACAACAGACCCAGCCTCAGGAATAAATGAGGCCCAGAGCAAAGAGCAGCTCCCAGATGTTCAGATAAGCAGCACTACCGCCAGCAGCAGCTCCTGACTCGTCTGTGAGCTGGCCTATAGCCTGAAACTTCTAGCTCCTGGTTCAAGGTCCCAAGCCCTGGATCCAGAGAAGACCCAGGCACATGGTGAGGAGTCTGACATCACTATATGACCCAGGCCCAGGTTTCATGGCTCATCTCTACCCTCTGGAGGTTTACAATCCCATTATGCAGCCAAGAGCTAACTCCTCCCAGTGTGTGCCAGGGTGGACTGCAGTCTGAGACATGCAGCAAACAGTCCTCAAAGACAAGAAGGTGCCATGCCCAGGCAAGCGAAGCCACGTCTTCCACCTTCATTTCAGTGACAAGGGCTGGTGACAGGTCCAGCGGAGGGTCCCCACACGCACCCACAGGTCAGCTGAGAATCCACATCAGACATGAAGCACAGCGAGACATGTGAGCAAAGCAAGTACCACAAGCTGCTGCACTTAAAGGTGCAGGGGTTACCAGGGTGGGGACAGACAGCTCTGGACCCCAGATCTAAACAAAAGAGGGACCATTTAGTCGCAGGGCAAAGAACATCCTCTGTCAGGATGAAACAGACAGGCCACGGGACAGGCAGCAGGACAGCCAATGCTGCCATGAAGATCATGTGCAGTGTTGCTTCTTAGTGCTGTGTGTTTGCAGATATCATATTCCAGACTGAGTGGAAATGAAATAAATACCGAGAAGTGTCATTTCCACGGCAACCTGCCTATGCGGACAGCTCTAAGACTAAGGGGCAGGCCAGGAAGAAAGCA